TTGTATAACATGTAAATTTTCTGTCCCCTCAAAATAACTCAACACACAGTCATTCATGTCTAAACCGCTGCAAACAAAACAGTGACATGAAGATGTTACTGACAGGATCACCAGGCAAAATAAAAGGAAATTAATGCAGTCATCACATCTAAGGACACATCAATATATTATTTTTTTGTTCTTGGTTTAGAGATACCTAAACTCTTCTATAGTGAGGATACTCATCCATTAAAAATATGATGCCACCCTTCTGGTCAGTATCTGGAGCTGAATCTATCAAGTCCTTCCCATGCTCTGGTATACAAAGAATAATACTACAAAAAAAAATTAATATCTTAAAGCAGAACTCCAGCCAAAAATAACAAGCTAAGAGTAAACAGCCTATTAAAGGATGAAATAACAAAACAAGCTTTTACTGCAGTATCAACAGTCAAATCAGATTTGTTCCACAGTGGTTTTTTTTCCTGTTGCTATATGAACTCAGTCTAATGGCCAGCATCATTCAACCTTTTCTCTGAGCTCAGGTCATCCTGGACCCACCCCAGCCTGTGATAGGTCAGTGAATAGGGAAACTACACAGTAATGAGCTCTTCTCCCTGTCATTTTTATTTCTATTCCATACCACCATGCTTCTTGTCAGTACGTGCACTGATTGACTATTTGTGCTGCTAATTCCTTACATATTCCTGACACCAGATCAAATTCAGGTAATTGCACTGCTTACATTTAAAAAATACATTTAATTATGTATTAATGTGAAAAAGTAATTGCTAAATCATGAATGAACTGCGATTAACCACATTTTTTGGAAAGCTGAGTTAAATTTCACTTGCCACACCCAGACCTGATTACTGCCAGACCTGTTGAATCAACACGTTGCTTAAATAGAAGCTGTCTGACAAAGTGAAGCACACTAAAAGATCTCAAAAAGCAACATATCATGCCGCAAGCTAAAAGAAATTCAAGAACAGATGAAACACAAAGTAACTAACATGTATCAGTCTGGAAAGGGTTACAGAGCCATTTCTAAGGTTTTAGAACTACAGGGAACCACAGTGAGAGCCATTATCCACAAATGGAGAAAACTTGGAACAGTGATGAACCTCCTTAGGAGTGGCCGGATTTGAGAAATCACTCCAAGAGCACAACGACAACTCCTCTAAGATCCTAAAAGAACCAAAAACAACTTCTAGAGAACTGCAAGCCTCACTTGCCTCAGTTAGGGTCAGTGTTCATGATTCAACAATAAAAGAGAATGGGCAAATATGGCATCCATAGAAGAGTTCAAAGGAGAAAACAACTGCTGACCAAAAAGAACACAAAGCCTTGTCTCACATTTGCTAAAAAACATCTTGATTATCCCCAAGACTTTTGGGCAAATATTCTGTAGACTGATGAGACAAAACATTAACTTTTTGGAAAGTTACATCTACCACAGCATTTCATAAAAAGAAGATCATGCCAACAGTCAAACATGGTGGTGGTGGTGGTGATGATGGGTCTCGGGCTGCTTTTCAGCTTTAGGACCTGATTGACTCGCCATAATTGATGGAAGCATGAATTCTGCACTAAGAAAATCCTGCAGGAGAATATCTGGCCATCGGTTTGTGACCTCTAGCTCAAGCGCACTTGAGTTATGCAGCAGGACAATGATCTGAAACACACTAATAAGGCCACCTCTGAATGGCTCAAAAAAATTAAATTAAGGCTTTGAAGTGGCCTAGTCAAAGTCCGGACTTAAATCTGATTGAGATGCTGTGGCATGGCATTAAACAGGCCGTTCATGCTTTAAAACCCAATGTGGCTGAATTAAAACAATTCTATAAAGAAGAGTGAGCCAAAATTCCTCCACAGTGATGTGAAAGACTTATTGCCAGTTATCACAAATGCTTGATTGCAGTTGTTGCCACCAAGGGTGGCACAATCAGTTGTTAGGTTTAGGAGGCAATTACTTTTTCACATAGGGCCGGGTAGGTTTAGACAGCTTTTTTAACTTTAATATTTGAAATCATCATTTAAAATTGCATTTTGTATTTACGCGGGTTATCGTTGTGTAATATTCAAATTTGTTTGATGACCTGAATCATTTAAGTGTGACAAATATGCAAAAAAAAAAAAATCCAGAAAGGGGCAAATACTTTTTCACAGCACTGTATAGCATAAAAACTGGGCACATTCTGTGATCTGGGAGGAACAGGTGCAGTATATGGCCCACTGCAGTCAAGTCATGTTCAGGGCCATATGCCTTCCGATACAGAATGTCCCTAATGTAGGAATTCCACATTTAGGGCATATATTCCTGAATGCATATGAACTTGAGTACCGCTCAGAACAGTGTACAGCCGCATATTTTAGCCTGTCATTAGCCTGTCATTCATTTTAACAGTCATGCTGGCAGCTGGCTGTTCACTTCACCTGTGTCTCCCGGGTGCTGGAATACACCCAGTTTTCACCTAGGAGCATGAACCTTCATTTTTGCCTGTTGTATATATCCAGTTTTTAGTTTTAATGGCTAAGTTTGGGTAAACATTTTTTTTTTAAAGAACCAGCCCAAGGGATGTTGCTTGCATTTTATGAGAAGTATCCCTTGCTCTAGTACCGGCGGTCCTATTTGAAAATCAAAGTCTGCCACAACCCCCCCCCCCCCCCTCCACTCACCACTCACCCCACTCAACCCATACACCTGCAGCTGTACTAGTTGTACCATAGCTTCCGTGAATAAAGAGTGATCTATGAATGGAGGATTGGTGGATGAATGAAAGATCTGCCTCCTCCATTCATAGAGAACTTTCCAAACAGGGAAGCTTTATTAAAAACTGTCCCTTGTGCCGTTTTTTTTTTTTCTATTTACCTAAACTTAGGCCCCCAGAGGGGATTCTGCTGTAAGAAATACCCCAAAAAGACAAGGATTTACAGTCAGACTTCCAACTTTTGCAAATTGTGTCACATTATGGGGTTGATTTACTAAAGGCAAATAGACTGGGCACTTTGCAAGTGCAATTGCTCCAGAGCTTAGAAAATGAGGGGGAACTCTGCAAATGTCCATCATCCAATCATGTGCAAGCAAAAATGCTTTATTTTTTTTTTTTTAATTTTCATTGCAGGTGATTGGGTGTCCTTTGTAAAGTGAAACTTCATCTCATTTTCTAAGCTCTGGAGCAACTGTACTTGCAAAGTGCACAGTCTATTAGCCTTTAGTAAATCAACCCCTATGCTTTCAGCTTGTGAGCTTTTCAGTGCAAACGTGCAGTGGTGACATTACTAATGAGTTTACAGCTACGTGATACAGACTTGGACTCATAAATACTTCAGATGAAGACGGTTTAGGTTGGATGGTCGGAGAAGCCTTGATAAGATGATTTGAGGCTATTGCTGCAGGTGCATACATCATATAAAGATAAAATGTATTTCTGAGTACAAGGAGTTTCAAATACTAAATCTTAAAGAAAAAAAACATAAACTACCTTCTATAACTGGAACATTGGAGAACCTGACATATATTTTAAAAGGCATGATAACAAAGATCCATGGACTGTTTAGCTCGGTGACAACTTTGGATTGATTAACTTAATGATTAGATGTATTCTCAGGCAGGACATGGGATGTTGCAAGAAAGCCAAGATACTGCACCCCTTACAAATCTTTTCTGTTGAAAAAAAAAACCCTTCCCATTTCTTTCCAAATATAAAATGATGCTTAAAGGAAGGAATAGCGACATTTTAAAGTGAACCTGTGCTTTCAACTAGAGGGTTTACTTTATTCCCTCTTCCACAGCAGCACATGTTTATCTTTCCTTTGCTCCTCTGCTGCTCCCTTCAGGAGCAAAAAACCCACCATGGGTTTCCCATAGCCAAGCCATGTATGTGTCTGGGTTTGGCGTTTGCCAGGAGAACGGTACTTGCATGACTGCATTGTGCCAAGTGTAAAGTTTAGTGGAGGGGGGATTATGGTGTGGGGTCGTTTTTCAGGGGTTAGGCTTGGCCCCCTAGTTCCAGTGAAGGGAACACTTAAGGCATCGGCATGCCAAGACATTTTGGACAATTTCATGCTCCCAACTTTGTGGGAACAGTTTGGGGATGGCCCCTTCCTGTTCCAACATGACTGCACACCAGTGTACAAAGCAAGGTTCATAAAGACATAGATGAGCGAGTTTGGGGTGGAGGAACTTTTCTGGCCTGCACAGAGTCCTAACCTCAACCTGACAGAACACCTTTGGGTTGAATAATAATGGAGACTGTGAGTCAAGCCTTCTCGTCTGACATCAGTGCCTGACCTCACAAATGGACTTCTGGAGGAATGGTCAAACATTCCCATAGACACCCTCCTAAACCTTGTGGACGGCCTTCCCAGAAGAGTTGAAGCTGTTATAGCTGCGAAAAGTGGGCCAACTAAGCACCGATCTTCTTAAGTCTGTGTGCCAAAAGACATCGTGTACATCTGGAGCTGTGAAACTGGTGATATTCTGACCACATGCATTACCATTTCATCATAGGCAGCAAGTTAGAACAAAGACCAAACATGAAATTCTGTATTGAGTATCTTTGCCTAATTTGCGCCGTGGAAATGATCCTGACTGGTATCTTGGGACTAGGGAGAGCCATTTGCTGCAACATCCAGCATACAACAACATATGCTGGTTTTAGTTTTTTTGCTTACACAAGGAGTCAAAATCCTCCAGTGAGTGTGGTGTGATATCTGTGTAACTGGGTCTTCTGGAGATCACATTGTGGAGCACATCCTATATCTGTCTTTGTGTTTGGAGCGCTGTGTTTGTGGAGTGGGACTGTCACTTGGTTATTACTGGCAGACAGAGAATGAGATGTGTTTATTTTGGATATTTATTATAATGTATGATTTAAGATTGCACATGATGTTCACATGTGGTTTAGTATATACTGTATAGGTAGCACTGTTACAAATAGGATAGATGGGGATCTTCTTCTGCAACTTTTTTTTTATATGTACTCAAGGGCGGACTGACCATTTGGAAACTCAGGCACTGCCCGAGGGCCTGGGGTCAGTTAGGGGGCCTCATGAGATGCCCTGGTACCTTTTTCATAGGCTTTTTTGAGATTGGGCAAGGACACAGGGGCCCCATGATCCCCTATTGCCTGGGGGCCCCATGAGTTTGTCAGTCCGCCCCTGTATGTACTATATATATATAGTCCCAAGGGCAGTTGCAAGTACAGTTACTCTTTGCAAGTGCAGTTGCTCCAGAACTTAGTAAATGTGGTAAAGCTTCACTTTACAAAGAAAACCCAATCACATGCAAGAAAAAAAACAGCATTTTTGCTTGCACATGATTAGAAGATGGAAGTTTGCAGAACTTCCCCTCCTTTACTAAGCTCTCTAGCAACTGCACTTGCAAAGTGTTCAGCCTATTTGCCTTTATTAAATCAACCCCTATATGGGAAGTAAATGCCCAGGTGCTTGCACATAAAAAATACAAACCCAAAAAAGGTATAGAGGCCCTCATGGCTCTTGCAGTGGAGATAAATGAATGTAACAGCGTTTTCTTGTCAATGTTTCGATGGAACTCAGTCTATCTTTCTCAAGACTAAGGGGTTTATTTACTAAACCTGGTTGACTCAGAATCTTGTCCACTTCTGCATAAAAACCAATCAGCTTCCAGGTTTTATTGCTGAAGCTTAACTGAACATGCTGAGGTTAGAAGCTGATTGGCTACCATGCACAGGTGCCCAAGATTCTGAGTAGAGATGAGCGAATTATTCAAAAATTCGGTTTGGCTGATTCGCCGAATTCGCCGATTAAATTCGCTTCATGCCGAATATATTCGCTGCGAATTTAACTTATAAAAAGGGTGTTTCTAGGCTTCAGAGAGCCTTTATATTAGTGCAGAACACTGTACCTTTAATTTAAATGCCCTTGGAGTCTGCTGGGGAAGAGAAATAATACTGTCAGTCAGTATGACATGCAGATGAGTGCCGTCGATCTTAGAATCACCGCACACTTCACTCATTTGGGCAGTCACGGGGCCAGAAAACCAGAGTGTGGAGCCACAGTGTGGCGGTGGAGGCAGCAGCAATGGGAGGCCATACAGCACCCTATGACAAAATGGAACCCACCAGCAGTGTGAGGAGACCTGAAAGTGGCATATGGCAGAGTGTGGCGATGGAGACAGCAGCAATGGGAGGCCGTACAGGGACCCATGACACACTCTGGACCTGGCAGCAGCATGAGGAGGCGGTACAGGGGCCCATGACAGATTACGGGCCTGGCAGCAGCATGAGGAGTCGGTACGGGGGCCCATGGCAGATTACGGGCCTGGCAGCAGCATGAGGAGGCGGTACAGGGGCCCATGGCAGAGTGGCGGAGCGTAAGCAGCTAAAATTGAAGGCCATACAGAGGCCTATGTTAAAAAAGTCCCCCCAGCAGCAGCGTGGGGAGACGACTATCAAGAGTCCAATGGCAGAGTGGCGGAGCAGAAGCAGCTTCAATTGAAGGCTATACACAGACCTAGGTTAAAAAGCGGAAGCCGTCAGCAGCGTGAGCAGACGACAGAGGCACATGGCGCAGGGTGGCGGTGGAGGCAGCAGTATTCGGAAGCCATACACAGGCCTAGGTTAAAAAGCGGAAGCTGTCAGCAGCGTGAGCAGACGACAGAGACACATGGCGCAGGGTGGCGGTGGATGCAGCAGTATTCGGAAGCCAAACACAGGCCTCGGTTAAAAAGCGGAAGCCGTCAGCATTGTGAGCAGACGACAGAGGCACATGGCGCAGGGTGGCGGTGGAGGCAGCAGCAATGGAAGGCCATACAGCACCCTATCACAAAATGGAACCCACCAACAGTGTAAGGAGAACTGAAAGTGGCACATGGCGCAGGGTGGCGGTGGAGGCAGCAGTATTCGGAAGACATACACAGGACTAGTTTAAAAAGCGGAAGCCGTCAGCAGCTTGAGCAGACGACAGAGGCACATGGCGCAGGGTGGCGGTGGAGGCAGCAGTATTCGGAAGCCATACACACAGCCTAGGTTAAAAAGCAGAAGCCGTCAGCAGCGTGAGCAGACGACAGAGGCACATGGCGCAGGGTGGCGGTGGAGGCAGCAGTATTCGGAAGCCATACACAGGCCTAGGTTTAAAACTGGAACCCAGCAGCGTGAGCAGACGACACAGGATGGATCTGGCAGCAGTATGAGAAGGCGGTACAGGGGCCCGTGGCACAGTGTGGGTGATGGGGGCTACAGCAACTGGATGCCAGAAAGTGGCCGATAGGGCTATATACTGCATGGAATTATAAAGTTGTAAAGACAGCGGCCTATAAGGCTATACACACTATAACAATCATGACTTGATTGACCATTGGCCTATAAGGCTATACACAGCATGAATATCATGACTTATTCTGAGAGTGGTTTGGAAGGCTATATACAAAAAGTAATTCATGAGCTGTCCGGACAGCGGACAATAAGTACATATATACAAATCAATTCATCAGCTGTCCAGCCAGCGGCCTCAAAGGCGACACATATAGAAAGCAATTCATGAGCTGTTCAGACAGCGGCCTCTAAGGCGACAGATATACAAAGCAATTCCCGAGGTGTTCAGGGAGCGGCCTGAACGGCTAGGTTATTACTAAATATATTTTTGTGGCCAAACATCGGCCTATAAATAGATGTCTACACAGTGACAAAAAATTATGTCGCCAGACAGCGGCCCCTAAGGCGACAGATATACAAAGCAATTCCCGAGGTGTTCAGTGAGCGGCTTGAACGGCTAGGTTATTACTAAATATATCTTTCTGGCCAAACATCGGCCTATAAATAGATGTCTACACAGTGACAAAAAAGTAGGTCGCCTTACAGCGGCGTATCCTACAAATTGACATTATAAGAAATGGTTTAGACCAAAAAAAAAAAAAAAAAAAACTTTGATGCGATGCTATACCTTAGTAGATTGTGGAAAGTCGACAAGTCAAGCGTAACTGTGTACATTACAGAAAATCTTAACAAGACAACCAAACATGTGGCCAAACCGTGACCGATACAACAAGTTAACAATGTAAGAAACAGGAGGGGGCCAAACCGTGGCCAATAAATAAACAGTCCACCTCATTGATGAGATGGACAACACGTGTCAAATAAATATTTAAAAAAATTGCTATTCCATCGGTCTGGAACTGGTCGACTATAAATAATTAAAAAGTTTAAATTCATGTGACAGTCGTCCAGCGACGTATAAATAATTTAAAAACACCAATTCATGAGGGGCCCGACCAGCAGAGTATAAGTCATTAAAAAGGTTCAATTCATGTGACGGTCGTCCAGCGAAGTATAAATAATTTAAAAACCCCAATTCATGAGGGGCCCGACCTGCAGAGTATAAGTCATTAAAAATGTGCAAAACATGAGTCGGCCGACCAGCAGCCTCTCAATAAAATATATATACAAATGTACGGATCAGGTGGAGGTCTTCCATTTGTCCCTAATAACATGTTTGGGGCATGATTCATGGCGGATTTAGTCAGTTGTGTCAGGAACTGGTGGTTTGAAATCCAGACTAATCCACGCCTGATTCATTTTCACACAAACGTGAGTCTCTCCACACTTTGGGTGGACAGTCGTGTCCTCCGCGGAGTTACAATACCTAATCCTCCTGCCGCACTAAACACGCGCTCCGATGCCACGCTACTGGCCGGGCATGACAGCCTTTCAAGGGCAAATTCAGCTAGTTGGGGCCAAAGGTCAAGTTTCGTTGCCCAGTAGTCAAGGGGATTGTCTACCTCGGTTGGCAGGGTGCTGTCCAAGTAGGCCCAAGCCTGTTGTTTGAGGTCCTGCTCCAGGTCCACCTGATGCTGCTGCTGCTGCGGCTGGTTAGTAGTTTCCTCACTGCGCTGGTGAAGAAAGCTACTCATCATCGACTGCAGACTGAGGCAGCCGCTGCTGGTGGAGCTGCCACTGCTCCTACCACCCCACCCCTCCCCTGCTGCCATGGCAGCGGAACGCGAGCGCACAGGGCCCACAGTGTCTGAGGATGGACGTTGGCGCAGAAAGGCAGAGACCAACTGACTACATAGGTGGTTTTTATAGTACTTTATTTTGGCCTCCCTCTCAGCAGGTGTGAAAAAGGCCACCATTTTTGAACGGTAGCGAGGGTCCAACAAGGTGGACAGCCAAAAGTCATCCCTCTGTCTGATGGTTATTATTCGGCTGTCGCTACGCAAGCAACCGAGCATGCTATGGGCCATTTGTGCCAAGGAATGCGAGGGACTCCCTCCCTGCCTCCATCTCCACAGCATACTGCCACGGTGCGTCTGGGTCCTCTGTCTCCTCCTCCTCCTCTACCAGATGCTCCTGCTCCTCCACTCCTGTCCGCTGAGTGGAAAAACCACCCATTTCACTCAATAATTCCTGAGCACCAATGTCCTCCTCTACCTCCTCCTCTTCTTCCTGTCCTGCCCCCACAGGGGTCATGTGGCGTTGAGATCTGTGCGCCACGTCTACCGCACCCCCTGACCAGCCATTGTTAACAGCATTTGTTCCAGGACGTGCAACAGAGGAATGACGTCGTTCATCCCATAGTCCTGCCGAACTCACGAATAGCGTGGCCTCCTCAAAGGGCCTGAGCAAGCGGCAGGTGTCACGCATGAGCTGCCAATGGCTGACATCTAAGTTACACAGGGGAGTACCTTTATCCGCTTGTAACATCAGGAAATCGGTGATGGCCTTTCGCTGTTCGTAAAGGCGGTCTAACATATGTAGGGTTGAATTCCACCTTGTTGCAACGTCGCAGATCAGGCGATGCTGTGGAATTCCGTTCTGCCGCTGCAGCTCAAGGAGGGTGTGCTTTGCGGTGTAGGAATGGCTGAAATGCATGCAAAGTTTACGTGACATTTTAAGGATGTCTTGCAGTGGGATGGTGGATTTTAGGAACCGCTTGACAACCAGATTGAACACGTGAGCCATGCATGGCGCATGGCACAACCTTCCTTGACGCAGAGCAGACACCATGTTCTTTCCGTTGTCGGTCAACATGGTTCCGATTTTCAGTTTGCGCGGAGACAGCCATCTGTCGATTTCTCTGTTCATTACACTCAGAAGTTCCTCCCCTGTGTGACTACGTTCGCCAAGGCATACCAGGTGCAGCACAGCGTGACACCGTTGCGCGCCCTGCACATGTGATATGCCGGTCGGGTAATGGGACTTGGCACGGGGGTGGCGGCTGAGG